GTGGCAATGTGTTTTAGCTGAAATTTAGAAAGAAAAAGGAGGTGTGATTATACTCTGGATAAAGTGCGCAATAACATACATGTGCCTCGAGATTTCTGTAGGCCTTTAGCTGACACTCTGGGATTCTTCTTTACCTCATGCAGCATTCTGCGCTGTGCTCTTGCAGTCATTTTTACAGGACGACCACACCTAGGGAGAGTAGCAACAGTGCTAAACTTTCTCCATTTGTAGACAGTCTGTCTTACCGTGGACCACATGAACATCAAGGCTTTTGGAGATACTTTTGTAACCCTTTCCAGCTTCATACAGAGTCAACAATTCTTGATGGTAGGTCTTCTAGAGAGCTCTTTTCTGCAAGGCATGGTTCACATCAGACAGTGCTTCTTGAAACCAGTAAACCCAAAACATGGTGTGTGTTTTTTAAGGGCAGGGACAGCTGTCAGCAACACATCGAATATCATCACCCCACTGATTGGAGTCAAGGTTGGCTCACTCCTGGCTCCAATTAGTTCTGGGAGAAGTCATTAAGCTAGGGCCTCACATACTTTTTCCTCCCTGCACTGTGAATGTTTACATGTTATGTGCAAATAAAACCATGGCAACATCTAATGTTTGTGTAGTATTATGTTCAACAGACTGTGTTCTTCTATTGTTGTGACTTAGATGACGTTCGGAGCACATTTTTAGGCCCAATTCATGCAAAACTCCACGTACTCCCAAGGGGTTCACATACTTTTTCTTGCAACTGTGTATGTCCATTTATTATTTATGCACTGAGTAGCACAGCACTAATTCATTTCACCTATTGCTCTCACTATTTTGGAATATAGCTAGGTGTCTGCGGCCACTTGGGGGTGATTATAGTTATTTTGGCAGCTCAGGAGGATTGTTTTCTCTTTAACCACCTCCCGACCACCGCCGTTGTATATAAACGGCCTCCCTGCACCCTGCTTGTGCGCGCTCCCGGGAGCGCAACACCGCAAACACCGCGATCCGGTGCCAGCTGTGTCCTCGGGAAACTGATCGTCAGACAGGACCTCTGTACGAGGGTCCCAATCATGTGATCACTTATTGGCCAATCAGTGATCACATGCAAAGTAGTAAGCAAGATGTCACTTGTGACATCATTGCTTACTACATGTGAAATCTGTGAATGAGATCACAGAGGTCACATGGTACAAAGCTATTCACAACAGCCTGTGTACCATGTGACAAGCTGTGAACAATCACAGCTCACTCAGTAGTTCTCAATGGCTGCAAGAATGCAGACAGAGAGAAAGAGAAAATGATTGCTTTTACATCCTATATGGGTGTAAAAGCAATCAGTGTAAAAAAAAAAAAAAATCTTCATCACCCCCCACAAGTATTACAGTGGTCACCATGGTGACTGTACTGCTTAGGGTGACAGTATGTAAAATAAATAAATAAATAAAAATATAAAAAAAATAAAAATAAAAGTGTAAAAAAAAAGTTTAAAAAATTATATTTTTGGTTATAAACTAATTTGGCTTATTTTTTTTTTTTTTAAAAAGAGATAACGGATAAAATTTTGGACCAAGATTCATGATGTAAATATTATCTATTTGCAAAATTTTAGAAAAAAAACACTTTTTTTCTAAATTTTTGGACATTTTCATATTACATAGGAAAAAAATAAAAATCCCAGCGGTGAATAAATACCACCAAAATAAAGCTTTATCTGTCTCAAAAAAATGGTAAAAAAATTTCATTTGCGGTAACAGTGTTGCATGACCGTGCAATTGTCATTCACGTCAGTGTGATAGCGCTGAAAGCTGAAAATTGCCCTGGTCAGGAAGGGGGGGGAAAGTGTCCGGACTGGAAGGGGTTTAATACCTCACATGTGTGTAGCGCAAACACTAATCCCATTTTACCTACATGTGAGGTATTGCCGCAAATGTTAAAGCGTGAGAGCAATATTTATAGTTTTAAGCCACCTCTGAAACTCACTAAACGGGTAACCTTGTACAAATTTTTAAAGCGTGTGCCTATGAAGATTTTTACAGTACCATAGTTTGGTGCTATCCACAAGCGTGCGCACAATTTATTTTTGTTTATTTTTTTTTAAAAAGTGTTACATGTGTAGGTATCTGTTTACTTGGCATAAAACACCTATCTTTTATACATTTCCAAAAAATTGGGTTATGTATTGTGTTTTTTTGCATTAAAATCATTACAGTTAATTTTTTCTAAAGACAATTGCATTTGAAAAAAAATCGCTGCAACAGATACTGTGTGACATAAAAAATTGTAACACCCACATTCTTACTAGATCCTCAGCTTATAAAAAATATGTATGATGATTGGGGGTTCCGAGTACTTTTTTTAGCAAAAAATTATGATTTTTTTACATGTAGGAGAGAAATGTCAGGATATGGCTTGGGTAGCAAGTGGGTAACATTTGCAATAGGTCGCCTTGGTAGTCTTCTGTGATCAGGGGCGGACTGATCCAACTCATGGGGCCCCGGGCAATAGGGGATCATGGGGCCCCTGTGTCCTTGCCCAAAATCATAAAAGGCCTCATGAAAAAGGACCAGGGGCATCTCTCATGGGGTCTCCTACTGACCCGGGACCCTCGGGCAGGAGTGCCCAAGTTTCCAAAATGGTCAGTCCGCCCCTGGTTCATGTACACTGCAGCTGATTGCTAAACTCAAGTTCAGGAGCTTTTCTGCGTTTTTTTTAGCAGCCCCCTGAAACTTCTCACTAATGTTTTATCCTATGTGTCATGTACACATAGTCATTTACAGTCGTTTACAGGTAGTTGAGTTTACAGTCGTTTTTTTTTAATGCACCAAACTTGCCGTTCAGAAGTCGATTTTTCAAACGCCAAATGCTTGTAAACGCGTGTAAAACTTCGCTACGCGGTGAACGGTTTATAAGCGTTTATGTTTAGAAGTGTTTTTTAACTTGTTCCAAATCTAGATGCTGTCACCATAAGCTTTTTTTCATCATCAGAAATGCACGCAAAGCGTTTTCCGATGTATTCAAAGGACCCGGTACACCACCACAGTCAGTTCCAGGTTTTTCAGTGAAGGAAAAAAGAGTAGACAGATGCTGCATTATGCACATGATGGGATCAATAGTGAAATACAACCAGAAAAGACAGGATATTCTCAACCACATACTGCTCTCCCTGCTTCTGCTCTCTCTATTCCCATTCAACAGGGTCTGAACTAGTTAATTTTTTCATACTGTTTTTCAGTGCATTTGGGCATTTTGGAAGGTCTCTACTGATGTTATCTTAAAAAAAAAACGCTTCTAAACACAAACCACTCATAAACGTGCATAAACCAAGTATGCAAAATGTGGCTAAACAGGCATTTTTTAACCTACATTTTTCAGGAGCACCTCAGTTTTCCATCATTCAGAAAGAGTTTTCCAAACGTCCCGTGTGATGATTAGTGCAGACTAAGTGCCCGTGATATCTGTTTCTGTTCCCTAATTAATCATGCTAGCTCTGGAAATGCGCCCGCAACTTGAAGATACCCACTGACATACACACATGTTGTTCAGTATCTGTGAAAAACTTCTTGGATATCCATATGTACTCTCCGGCGCCTCAGGATATGCACAGCCAAAAGGGAAGCCAAGGGTACCAGGACAGCGAAAACCAAAGGAAATGCTTCAGGGGTGGCAAGCCTCCTCAGACGGGGAGATCAGCCACTGGATAGAGAGAAAAAGGTGTGCGCACATACCCTAGAGCATTATCCAAGGTTTATTGTGAGGACTTTGAATTGAGTGAAAAAATAAAAACACATACTCCAGATGAAGCATGTATCTAAAAGCATAGAAAAATGACGATGGCCACAACGGCAGCAAGGTGTCCCCACTGTTTCCAGTTGCGTCAAATGGCATGATGCGTTTCGAGGACAAATCCCTTTCCTCAGAGCTGATGAGACCAAACCTCTGATGCAGATGTGTAATGGATGGAAAGTAGGAGCCTTGCTGGTGAAAACTTCTTGTTTAATTGGAATGAGAAAGTGCAGTTATCATATATGCTACAGATGATTGCAAGGGTCATTGTGAGTCGCAGCATTAGCATTATAGCTAGTCTTTGATTGGTCATTTTCACCACAAAAGCAATCTTCACTTCAGAATATAGGCGTGATCATCTTCTAGGTGTTATCTAGAAGAAAATATTTCTTTGTTCTTCAAGCTTTCACTGAATGGGAGGGGTTGCTGAGCAGCCATCTCTGAGCAAGGATTCTCCAAACACAAGCAATGGAAACGCACCAACTTTGGGGAAAGACCACAGAGAAAAAAAAATATACACACAACAACGTTTATATCTATTCATACAAAGCATTTGAGAACTATAAAAAGTATAAAATAGTATATGTATAGAAAATGTATATATTCAACAGGTGAAACCAAATCGCATTTTACCATATCCATCACACGTGACTTGGAACCCTTAAAGATCTCATTTCTGTCTGTGTATGCTGTCTTAAAGCATTCCCTTACTTATTCTGTCTGGAACTCATTGACAACAGAACAGGAAGTAAGTGTCTAAAACCTCCCGACAAAAGCCCCAAATGCGTAATCAAAATATGACAGGGGTTTTACCATCTTATCCCCATTCTAAAGTTATAAAAAAAATCTATGGGAAGCACTAACACTTTAACCGTGCTTCCCGCCCGGCCGTTGTTAATAGAAACGGCCCGGGACGGTGGCACTGCAGGTGTCGGGGTGGCATTTATAAACGGCCTCCCCCGCACCCTCTTGTTGCGCGCTCCCTGGGAGCTTTGCAGCAGCCCGCGACCGGTGCCCGTTGTGTCCTCCCTGCACAGGTGACACGACCCGATCGTTTGGACCGGGGACGGTGTCTTGGACAGGTCCCGATCACATGGATCACTGATTTGCCAAATCAGTTGACACATGCAAAGTAGTAACCAAGATGTCACTTTGACATCATTGCTTACTAAGTGTGAAATCTGTGAATGAGCACAGAGGTCACATGGTACAAGGCATGTTGTAGAATAGCCTTGCTACCATGTTGACACTCTGTGATTCATTCACAGATTTCACGATCATAGTAAGCAATGAGGTCACAAGTGACATCTTGCTTACTAACTTCTGAGCATGTGATCACCCATTGGTCCAATCAGTGAATCACATGAGCGGGACCTCGTACAGATGTCCCGTCTCAAACGATCGAGAGTTATTCTACTGTGTCCGGAGGCACACAACGGGTCACCGGATCGCGGTGCCTGCAACGCTCCCAGGGAGCGCGCACAAGCAGTGTGCTGGATGGCCGTATTATAAACTGACCCACCCGACCCAGCAGTGCCAACCGTCCGGCCGTTTAATATACCACGGCCCGGTCGGAAGTGAGCGGTAAAGTGTTAGTGCCAGCCAAAGATTTTTTTTTTTTTACTTTAGAATGGGGAAAAGATTAAAACCTCTTACCTGTCATATTTTTATTACTAATTTGGGGCTTTTTTTAGGTGAGGTGTTACCTCTTACGTTCCTGTATCTGATGTCAACTGATGTTTCCAGACAGGAACGTATAAGGGGAATGAGCCTCAAACAGCAACAACACAACAGAAATGTCGATCTTAAGTGGAGGTTCAATGTAACACGTAGTGAGTGGTGATATGGTAAAATGCCGATTTTGTTATTCCTGTTGAATATATACATTTTTCTATTCAATAATATCTTTTATTCTTTTTAATCGTTCTAAATGCTTTGATATGAATATATATACGTTGTTCGTGTGTATATTTTTTTCACTGCTGGTCGTTGTGGGTGTGCTTTCCATGCTTGTTGTTGGTAGTGATATATCCTTGCTCAGTGATAGGCTGCTCAGCAAACCCCTCCCATTCAGTGAAAAGCTTGAAGAAACAAAGGAAATATATCTTTCTAAGATAACAACCTAGAAGTAGATCACGCCTTATATTATGAAGGAAGATTGCTTTTGTGTGTGAAAATGACCAATCAAAGACTAGTATATGTATTATCATGCTACTGCTGCACTCACATGACCCTTTGCATAATCTTGCTTATATAAACTCACTTTCTCATTCCATTAAACCCAAGAAGTTTTCTGACCGGCAAGGCTCCTACTTTCCATCCATTACACTTCAGCATCAGATAGGTTGGTCCATTTGCTCTGAGGAAAGAGGGATTATGGGTCCTCAAAACGCCATCAGCCATTTGGACCGCACTTGACAGTGGGGGACACCTTGCCTGCCGTTGTGGCCAACGTCATTATTTTTCTATTGCTTTTTAGATACATGTCTTCATCTGTGAGTAGTGTTTTTCGATATTTTTCAACGTCCTTACCTATAAACACGTGGTTTATTGCACTAGGTGATGTGCGCCCACCTGTATTTCTCTTCTAATCCAGGGCTGATCTCCCCGTCTGAGGAGGGCTGCACCCTAGTAAGCATTTTCCTTTGGTATTTCGACTGTCCTGGTACCCTTGGGCTTCTCTTTTGGCTGTCCATATCCTGAGGCTTGTCTGTCCATATCCTGAGGCGCCGGAAGAGTACATAGGATATCCATAGATTTTTCACCAGACTGAACCCATGTGTGTCAGTGTGGGTTATCTTCAAGTGCGCGCGACTCCAGAGCTAGCATGATTAATTAGGACATGTAACAGATAAATCACCGGGCACTTAGTCCTGCACTAAATCACACGGGACGTTTGGAAAACTCATCTGGGAAGGATGGAAACTGAGTGCTGAAAAAATGTAGGGTTAAAAATGCCCTGTTTAGCCACATTTGCATACTGTGTTTATGCACGTTTATGAGTGTTTGTGTTTAGAAGCGTTTTTTTTTTTAAGATAACATACAGGAGTCCTTCCCAAAATGCCGTGAATGCACTAGAAAAACACAGTTAAAAAATTAACTATTTCAGACCTGTTGAGACGGAATCAGAGAGTAAGCAGAAGCAGGAGGGAGAGCAGTATGTTGATGTGAGATTACCTGGTCATTTCTGGTTTGTATTCCAACTATGGATGCCCATTCATGTGCATTAATGCAGCATACCTTCTACCCCCTTTTTCCTTCACTGAAAAACCTGGAACTGACTGTGGTGGTGTAACCGGGTCCATTTGAATACATGGAAATACGCCTTTTGCGTGCATTTCTTGATGATGAAAAAAAGGCTTTGGAAAGCAATCTAGATTGGAACACGTTTAAAAAAAACACTTCTAAACATAATCGTTATAAACGCGGTTAGCCGCGTTTTACACGCGGTTTACAAGCATTTTGGCGTTTGACATCTACTGTGGGGAGGGTCTGAACAGCAAGTTTGGTGCATTAAAAAAAACGACTGTATAACTCAACTACCTGTAAACGACTGCTGTAAATGCCTATGTGTACATGGACACATAGAAAAGACATTTGTGAGAGTTCAGGGGCTGCTAAAAAAAAACGCAAGAAAGAAAAGCTTCCTGAACTTGAGTTTTATACAGCTGCAGTTGTACATGAACCAGGTGGCGGACTGGACTCATTTGGAATACCTTGGGCACTGCCCGAAGGGCCCAGGGGTCAGTAGGAGTACCGTTCATGAGGATGTGCCCCTCGTGTCCCTTTTCTCATAGGGCTTTTTATGGAGTTTGGGCAAGGACACAGGGGCCCCCATGATCCCCTATATCTGCCCGGGGGCCACATGGAGTGTCAGTCCGCCCCTGTGATCACAGAAGACTACCAAGCGACTATTGCAAATGTTTAACCCACTTGCTACCCAAGCGATATCCATGACATTCTCTCCTACATGTAAAAATCATAAATTTTTTAGCTAAAAAAAGTACTCGGAACCCCAATCATCATACATATTTTTTAAGCTGAGGATCTAGAGAATGGTGGGTGTTTACAATTTTTTATGTCACACAGTATCTGTGCAGCGATTTTTTTCAAATGCAATGTCTTTTAGAAAAAATTAACTGTAATGAATTTTAATGCAAAAAAACAACAAATACATAACCCAATTTTTTGGAAAAGTATAAAAGATGGTGTTATGCCAAGTAAACAGATACCTAACATGTAACACTTTAAAATTGCGCACGCTTGTGGAATAGCACCAAACTATGGTACTTAAAAATCTTCATAGGCAACGCTTTAAAAATTTGTACAGGTTACCCTTAGAGTTTCAGAGGTGGCTTAAAACTATAAATATTGCTCTCGCAACCGCTTTAACATTTGCGGCAATTACCTCACATGTAGGTAAAATGGATTAGTGTTGCGCTAACACACATGTGAGGTATTCAACCCTTCCAGTCCGGACACTTTTAACCCCCTTCCTGACCAGAGGGCAAATTTTCAGCTTTCAGCGCTATCACACTTTGAATGACAATTGCACGGTCATGCAACACTGTACCCAAATTAATTTTTTTACCATTTTTTTGAGACAGATAAAGCTTTATTTTGTGGTATTTATTCACCGCTGGGATTTTTTATTTTTTTCCTATGTAAATGAAAATGTCCAAAAATTTAGAAAAAAAGTGTTTTTTTTCTAAAATTTTGCAACATAGATAATATTTCATCATGAATCTTGCCAAAATTTATTTCGTTATCTTTTTAGTAAAAAAAAAATAAGCCAAATTAGTTTATAACCAAAAATATAAAATTTTTAAACTTTTTTTTTACACTTTTATTTTATTTTTTTATATTTTTATTTATTTATTTTTTACATACTGTCACCCTAGCAGTACAGTCACCATGGTGACACTGTAAATACTTGTGGGGGTGATGAAGATTTTTTTTTTTTTTTACACTGATTGCTTTTACACCCATATAGGATGTAAAAGCAATCATTTCTCTTTCTCCTCTGTCTGCATTCTTGCAGCCATTGAGAACTACTGAGTGAGCTGTGATTGTTCACAGCACTGTCACATGGTACAAGGCTGTTGTGAATAGCTTTGTACTATGTGACCTCTGTGATCATTCACAGATTTTCACATGTTAGTAAGCAATGATGTCACAAGTGACAATCTTGCTTACTACTTTGCATGTGATCACTGATTGGCCAATAAGTGATCACATGATTGGGACCTCGTACAGAGGTCCCGTCTGACGATCATTTTTCCGGAGGACACAGCTGGCACCGTATCGCGGTGTTTGCGCGCTCCCCGGGGAGCGCGCACAAGCAGGGTGCAGGGAGGCCGTTTATATACAACGGGCTGGTCGGGAGGTGGTTAAAGAGAAAACAATCCTCCTGAGCTGCCAAAATAACTATAATCACCCCCAAAGTGGCCGCAGACACCTAGCTATATTCCAAAATAGTGAGAGCAATAGGTGAAATGAATTAGTGCTGTGCTACTCAGTGCATAAATAATAAATGGACATACACAGTTGCAAGAAAAAGTATGTGAACCCCTTGGGAGTACGTGGAGTTTTGCATGAATAGGGCCTAAAAATGTGCTCCGAACGTCATCTAAGTCACAACAATAGAAGAACACAGTCTGCTGAACCATAATACTAACACAAACATTAGATGTTGCCATGGTTTATTTGCACATAACATGTAAACATTCACAGTGCAGGGAGGAAAAAGTATGTGAGGCCCTAGCTTAATGACTTCTCCCAGAACTAATTGGAGCCAGGAGTGAGCCAACCTTGACTCCAATCAGTGTGATGATATTCGATGTGTTGCTGACAGCTGTCCTGCCCTTAAAAAACACACACCATGTTTTGGGTTTACTGGTTTCAAGAAGCACTGTCTGATGTGAACCATGCCTTGCAGAAAAGAGCTCTCAGAAGACCTACCATCAAGAATTGTTGACTTGTATGAAGCTGGAAAGGGTTACAAAAGTATCTCCAAAAGCCTTGATGTTCATGTGTCCACGGTAAGACAGACTGTCTACAAATGGAGAAAGTTGTAGCAACTGTTGCTACTCTCCCTAGGTGTGGTCGTCCTGTAAAAATGACTGCAAATGAGCACAGCGCAGAATGCTGCATGAGGTAAAGAAGAATCCCAGAGTGTCAGCTAAAGGCCTACAGAAATCTCTTCTGGCACAATGTATGTAATTCGCGCACTTTATCAGCCACACAACCCTTTTCTTTCTAAATTTCAGCTAAAACACATTGCCACTACTACAGCTGCCGGGCAAACTAACTCTTTTTATATTGAAGGGTCTGGCTTATCCAAAAGCTCTTTATTGGGGGGGGGGTGGGGGGGTGGGGGGGGGGGGGGGGGGGTGGGGGGGGGGGGGGGGGGGTGGGTGGGGGGGGGGGGGGGGGGGGGGTGCAGCCCATACGTCTATATGGTTTCGCAGCTAAAGATACATCACCACTACAAATATTCTCAGTAAAAGCCTGAAAAAGGCTATTGTGTATCAGTTTTATGTTTTGAATCAGAACTAAAGTATCTGTTTTTCTATAATGCAAACAATGTTGAAAATTGTGCATTCATGACACATCTGCAAATCCTGTTTTACGTTTTTGCTGTGTTCATTTTTATATCTTCCATATGCCATTAGTGCAGAGCGGATTCTTTTACTTCCTCTCCCTCAGCTCGTTCGCGGTCTTGTGAGAGAAGACAGGACAGTTCTGTTGTCCTGTGAAGTAATGCGTGCTCTCAGACCCTTCTGCCCTAAATGTCAGAGCATGACATGGCTTGTAGAGTGGCTGTGTAGACAGCCTTATGACCTGTGAGCTGGGCAGACCGGCAGAGATCACTCAAGTCTTCAGACAGTATCATCCGCGAGGAAACCTGCTGCTATGCCTGCAGCATCAATCCCATTAATGAAGTCCCAAGATACATCTTTTTGTGGGTGTGCAATGTTGGAGGAGACATGAGGAGAGGTTACATAAATGCTTGATGAAGTTCTCCCTTAACCACTTCCCAGTCTGGACACTTTCACCACACCCCTCACATCCGGACACTTTCACCCCCATCCAGTCGGAAACACTTTCTTCTCTATCTCCCACTCACTCCTTTCCCTCTCATCCCCTCTCTCCCTATCGATGATGCCCTCGCCTCCCACCCCTTTCTTTTTATCCTCGCCCCGGACATCACCACTTTTTCAAAGAAAAGAAACCCCCCCTTCCAGTCCCGACACTGTTTCCCCGCCCTCTCCAGTCCGGACACTTTCCCCCCGTCCGGACACTTTCACCCCCTTCCATCCCAGACACTTCCCCCTCTTCCAGTCCGGACACTTTTTTTTTTTATTTGTTATTTTTTTTACCTTTCTATTTTTGGTCACGGTTTCTATGTCTTCTAGTTTTACCCCTTCCAGTCCAGACACTTCCCCCCCTCGCATGTCCAGAGACACT